ACCAGTACGTCATACTGCCTGGTCTTAAAGCCAGCCTTTAGGGAGGCACCCAAACGCATTATTAGATCCATGGCAGTTTTCCAAGGGCAGTTGTTTCTGGAAAACGTTCTGGAACTCTTCTAAAAGTGTTCAAGTTTGGGAATTTCCAAAAGTCTGTTTAGTTCTCCACTGGTATACATGTAACCCATCTTTTCTGTCCCCTGGCCACTTCCTCTTCTATAGCTTGGATACCGCACTCCTGGATTTATTAAAAGATGCTATCAGACAGGACAAGTAAATGCAAGATCCCCTGCCAGTCCTTTCTGCTTCCTTTCTTTAAATAACGGACTTTATCGAGATCACACCCAAACCAAACCCACTGCTGAATGAGGAGGCTTGCTAGCAGCAGCGGTGCAGTGCCTGTGTGCTAACCACAAGGTTGGTGGTTTGAACCCACCAGCCACTCTAGGAGAGAAAGACGCAGCTGTCTGCTTCTGCAAAGATTGCAGCCGTGAAGCCCTAAGCTGCAGTTCTCGCTGTCCTGTGGGGCTGCTCTGAAGACGGATGGGCCTCGGGTAGCATGAATGAGGTCCACGGGTCAGATCACACCTACTGCCTCCGTGCGGATTCCTAAGCATGAGTGCTGGCCTGCGGTCAAAGCAGAGAGCATGCTTGTTCCTACAAATGCACCCTGGAGGGACGTGCTGTGTACAGTGTGCGCCCAGCGGTTTCAGCAAAAGAGCCAGAGAGGAAATTACAGCCTAAATGTGAGACAGTGTTATCAACGGGAGGATCTAGGACTTCTTGGTGTCATTTCTGTAATGTTTCTGGCAAGTTTATAATTCTTTTAAAATTAAAATAAACAGCGTCTGAATGGCTCTTCCTCCCCAGGCTCTGACTTCGGCGAGGACACTCCCAGAGCCGGACTACCAGCCCACCCGCCGCCCCTCCGAGGGGCCTGGTGCCTTTCCTGGTGCCCACAGGCACAAGCCTGCTGGCACGGCCATCTAGGCACCACACTACCTTCCCGAGGATGGAGCTCCTCACCCAGACCCTCCCACCAGCCTCCTCTCTGCGGTCAACCTCCCCACCCCAGCCCCACTGGCAGGGCTTTCTGGGCAGCTCGAAACTGCCCTCTTGTTCCACTCACATCCTCTCTCCTCTGGTCCAGACTGTGCGCGGGCTTTTCACCTCCCCTTTTCCCGTATCCCGGCGACTCCATAGCCCCACCCCTGATCCCTACATCCCAGTCACTCCATTGGGTGGGTGTGCTAGCCCCACTCCTGCCCCCACCCAGGTGCCTGCACACGGACCACTCGGCCTCTCATATGACATCACAGAGAAGGTTTTGGCAGCCTCTCGGACCCTTGCAACTGGAAGATGGGGCTCTGGCCTGGATGGTGGTCCCCCAGTGCCGCAAGGGCTCATCTATGATGCAGACGGATAGTAATCCCTTAGGCTTCCTTACTGGGTTCTTTTGAGGATGGGAACATCTAAAGTACTTAGCGTGCGATTTGGCCCAAGGGAAGTAGCCAGTAAAAGGCAACCATTACATCCCTTCCTTGCTCCAACTTTCCCAACTCCTGAAGCAGCCCTGGGTCGACTGCCCTTTCGCCCCACACGTCTTGGGGCGGTGGCACCTTTGTCGCTGTAAAATCTGGTTCTTAGCCAGCTCTTCTCCCCCTTGGAACCCTAGTGGCATAGGGGTTATGCACTGGGCTGCTAACTACAAGGCACAAGGTCAGCAGTTCAAAACCACCAGTGGCTCTGTGGGAGAAAGACGAGGTTTTCTAGTCTCATAAAGAGTTACAGTCTCGGAAACGCACCAAGGCAGCTCTACCCTGTCCCAGAGAGGGTCACTATGAGTCAGCATGCCCCCCACCCCCCAAAGCTGCTGCTGACATTCACGGAGCATTGACCCCAAGCTTGATACTGTTCTGAACACACTACACTTGCTGACTCAGTTTTTCTTCACAGATAAGGCAGATCCTATCATTTTCTCCATTTTACAGATTCGGAAAGTGAGGCACAGGGACATTAGTCACCTCTGCTGGGGACAAAGGCCCTAGGTGGACACACTATCAGGTCATCACTTGCACACCCAAAATACCCCAAACGGATCTTGTCATCCCCCCGCCCCTCCCATCCCCTGCGCCCTAGAAATCCCATTGTCCCTCTGACAGAATCACACTGCCAGCGAGTGTAATGTACCGTCAGGCTAGTTCTCAGACACAACTGCTAGCTGCAACTTCCTCTTTCTGCTTCATACTTCAGGGTCTCATTGTTAACTCCGCTGAGCCTGGGTCTGCACCCCTCGCCCCTCCTGCCTTTGAGCAAACCCACAAACTGTGGCCCAGCATGCTGCGGTCCTGGCTCTCCCACCTCTTCAGAGAGAGAAGACCCTAAAATATAGGAAGAGCTTCCAACATATCCAAGTATTATTAAAACAACTCTACCTCTGGGCATTTCTCCAAGAAAACAACCAAAGGGGTACATTTCCACATAGAAGAAATTGAGAGCGTTTCAAATACTCAGCAGTGGGCAAACAGCTGGCTAACTTATGCTGGAAATGCACGGATGAGAATACAGAACACACTGGCTTTGCCTTTGTCAGTCGGTTCCCACGTAAGTGGAATTACTTCTTTTTGTCTTCCATTTAAAAAAATTATCCATATCCTTATAAAACCAATCTTTGAACATTTGAGAGTAACATGACCTTGTGAGCATTTGTACAGAACAAAACTGGACCCCAAGCCGCCAAAAAATTCCTCGTGACTGATCATTTGTGCTAGGGTGGTTTTGGTTTGTCTTAGATTCTTCCGAATTCTTTCCAGTTTCTACAATGAATACATTCTGCATCTACGATCAAGCCAACGGTTTTTAACCAGCTAAGCCAATAATAACCGGCTGTCTACTCAAAGGCCTTGTGTGATTTTTGTGTGTCTGCTACGGCTCCCAACACCAACCCCCTGCTACAGGGCCGGGCCCTGACTTCCGTTCTCGGGCCACCTCTCCCCATCGCTACCTAGCAATAGCCTTCCACTTTTGCTGGCCTCCTAGAGCTGCATGTCCCCCAAAGCCCCACCTTCTCCGGAAAGTTATTTGCCAATTCCTGCATTCCACCGAATACTCCTTAAGCCTAGGTCCAGCGTACCACAGTGTGGGGAACGTGATCCTTCCTTTCTTCCTGGTTCTAACTTCACAAACATTAAGTGCCTTGTGGGCAGGGGCCTCGAACTGCTTCCTGTCTCACTGTATCTGGTACTGCACTGGCCTCCAAGCAGTGAACCTGACGCTACAGCAGGAAGGTTGGATCGTGAACACTGTACCTTATCACAACGTCAAACTGGTTCAGGGCGTGACCCAGTTCTAGCCCATTCAGTATTCCGCCGTTCCCGATGACCACACAGCGCTTACAACTCTTGGCTGCTAGGTGTTCGGGAAAGTTGTGCTCTGGCAGGATTTCCAAGAGGGCCTGGACTTTGCTTGAGAACTTCTGAAATCCAAAAGGAGGGCCATACTTGAACTTGGCTTCATTCATGGTGGCAGTTGGCCTCACAAAGGGCAGCAAGTCCACACTGTACCGGTGCCCAAACAGCTGTGCCATGGACGTCTTGGCAAACTTGGGGCGGCATTCCCGATGCAGGGTTTGCTGGGCGTATCTCTGAGCTCTCTGGAATGGAATCACACAAGCTCGGTTTAAGGACGCTCAGGCATTCGAAGGACACTCCGGCCGTTGACAGCACTGTGTCCTTGTGATGTCTGACAGCAAGGCTCCTGTCTCCTTTCATTCACTGTTTAAATTTCCTTAGAGGGTAAATTTATGTTCAGAAACAGGAACATCGTATCTGGGAGAATCAAATGACAGATGAAGGCACTTCACAAGACGGTTTTATCCCTCAAAGCAGGAAGACATGACACCCCCATCCCCAACCAGCCTTCTCCAAATGATTCAAAGTAAAGAACAGAACAAAACAACCCACGACTTTAACGTGTTCAAGGTTTTATGTTCTTCCTATCTGGCAGGATGAGGAAAAGGCTCAATTTACTAATAGGGGTAATAAGCTTTCTACAGTCTAGAGCAGAGCTTCCCAAAGTTGGGGGTCCTTGACGGGCACCATGCAAGGGGGCTGCAAAAGCAAGACACCAACACTTGAGGCTGGGTGATGGGTTAGAGTACAAAAGGTTTTCACCACAGGGAGGCACGGATAAATTTTTCTCTCTGAAGAGGGAGGTGGAAGACTCAATGAACTTAGGAACTGATCATCCAGAGCAGGGGTAGGCAAACTCTTCGGTATGCACACGTGGCTCTGAAGCAACACTGAAAAACCTTAAAGGGTACTATTCCGATAACGGTGATCTCACGTGTTTGTAAACTCTATCGATGGCTCTCGAGTAATTTTAAGTTATTGTGAGGGACAGGATGGGCTCTTCCATCTCAACAATTTGCCGGCCCCTGGCCGAGATCAAAGGCAGCTGTACGCATCATCCTGGAATGATGTCATGTGAACAGCGGGCCCAGTCCGGCGCCCCTGCCCAGCATGCTGATGGTCTGCATCAGCCCGGAACCGTGGATGAACCCAAAGGACACCTGCACAGCTGAGGGAGGTGAGCTGGGGTGGGGGTGGGGGGTGGAGGGGACACAGGGCCGATGTCCAGGAGCGGGGCCCCCCCCCACCTGGTTTCTTCCAGTCTGCAGGCTCAGCAGGCTTGGCTCTTCCTAAAACCTCTCAGCAAAGCACCATCGTGTGTGTGTGTGTGTGTGTGTGTGTGTGTGTGTGTGTGTGCGCGCGCGCAAGGGTATAGTCCTTATTTACCGACTCACATTTAGGGACTCTCCAAGCGTTTCAGGCCTGCTCATTATTAATAATTATGTGGCATTTCTGCTCCATAGCGGCCCTACTGTGCGTGCCAGAGTTGAACTGTCCTTCATCGGGTTTTCGGGGGCCAGATCTTTTCTTACCCCCAGGTGCCCCTTAGCGGATTTGAACCTCCCATCTTCCGGTTAGTGGCTGTGTGCATCAACCCTGAAGAGGTTCCTCCTGCTTGCTGTGAGAATTAGCTCACTTCTCAGTTCAGGAGCCCCGGTGGCACAGCAGTTACGCAGGCTGGTCACAAGGCCAGGGGCGGCTCGATCGGCACACACACAAAGAGCGCGACAGACTCGGAAGCCGAGTGGCCGGTCCATCCTGCCCTCAGGGTTGGTCTGTGCCAGAATCAACTTGGTGGAAGTGAGCTTGGTTTGCGGATTTCCAGGTTTGCACCGATTGTGTTTTTCCTAGTGTTTTGTTATTCTTATGATCAGGATCTTGTGTGTATTTTGAAAGGACTCATCTAATCGATTAGAGCAGACATATTTCTTTTCGATTTAATTAGAGTTTCAAAGAGTTACGGGCACCTACTGAAGGGCTCCTTGCTTCCATGCCGCGTCTGGATCTGGCCACATTTCTGAAAAGAGGAGCTGGTATTTCGAGAGGCCCAGAGGTCAGGCTGCCGACCCTCTGAATAGCACTGCCTCCGTTGACCCTGTCACCGTCTGCGGCACCTGGCACAACAGCCGTGCATCTTCATCCGGGCCCAGGGTGGCACAATCAAAAGGGACCAAGCTACACCCAGTGGGCTCTGCTGGCAAAAGCAGCATACCCGTGACAACACCAGCAACAGTAGGTGATCCAAAGGGGGGGAAACGAGGAACAGAATTTTAAGTTCTCATGGAATCCAGACTTTCTGGAGTCCCCAAGACTGGATAAACCCACTTAACTATTGCCCTGAGATCATCTTTCAACCCTAAACATAAACACCCACATCACAGGCGTGCGCCATTCAAAGTCCACATGTTGCAAGGAGCAGGGTCTGATGGGATGTCCTGTGAAGACCGAGACCTGTGGGAGCCTGCATACAGGTGTTCTGGTCAGAGGCCAGAGAGGGGAGCACCAGCAGGGCAGCAGGGGGAGCGGTGGGAGAGGAAGTGGGTGCAGGGAGCAGAGCACACCCGGTCCCAGCAGCTCCCCTGCAGCCGCTACCTGCCTGCCAGACAAACCCCAGAGGCTGTGCCCAGAGCCACGCCCCTGCCTCACTGGCCTGACTCACACCTCTGTGTGGGTCTGCAACAGTCTGCATTTGGGCCTTTAAGGCCATTAGGGAGAAATAATGAACAAAGAAGGGCTGCTTCCCTTTAAACAAACAAACAAGCACACAAAACAATACCTTAAGAAACCATGGGGGAGAAAGTCTAAAAAAAGAAATAAGAAACCATGGATACACGTGCAAATAGAAAGACACTGTCCAAGCTCAGTGGTACATACCAGTATAGAAGAGGGGCCTTCAAAGAGTTCATGGAAAAATGGAATGAAAGGACACTGGGAGTTCCCAAAAATCTTTGAAACCCCCTCGTGTGAGATTAAGCAGACAGGAGACACCTGAGCGGATGATCCAGTAGGAAGCTTAGGGACAGTGAGCTCATACTCCCGGGAGCAGACCAATCAGGAAGAGCAGGGGAGCTGCTCGTACGACTTGAAGGGTGTCCTCGGTGCCACCGGGCTCTACGTGTGGAAAGTGTTGAGTGGGGTGAAAGCCTTCTGTTTGTGTGCATTTTCAACAGCAACACACATGGAGTATTCAAAAGGCTAACAACCCCCGTGTGTGAGTCTGGGTAGACTAGAGAAACAAATTCATAGACACGCATATGTGTATAAGAAAGAGCTTCAAAAAAAAAGAAAGAGCTTCGGATACAAGAGCAATTGAATATTAAGAAAATAGCCCAGCCCAGTCCAGATCAAGTCCATAAGTCCGACATTAGCCCATTTGTCTGGTACCAGTCTATAAATTACTCTTCAGACTCATGCAACACATGCAATGACACCGAATGCAGGAGGAAGCTACAGGCCAGCGAGTGCAAAGTCTCATGGATCCAGTGGTGGTGGAAGCATCTCAGCGCTGGCAGGGGTCTCCACATAGCTCCTTCAGCTCCAGGGCTCTAGCACAGCTCCCTGTGTCTTCTCAACAGAGGTCTCCCAGGGAGTGTGTGTGTGTCTTGCCTCCAGTGAGCTACGTACCTCCTTAGGGCCTTCAAGTGAGGTCATCAAGCTGTGACCTGATTGACAGGCTAACCTCCACCCCTTCACTCTGAATTCTCAAATGGAAAACACATTACGTAACTCCCACACCCCACAGGAACACACACCAGCATCTTCAAGAGGAAGGCCGAGTGAGGAGAGCGCTCTCAGCAAAGGGCGTGCTGCTGCCTGACGGCCCACAGGTGAGGCTCAGCACCTGGCAGGCACCTGCAGTCGTCATGCAGGTGAGGACGTGGAAGGAGAGGGACCACCCACACTGCACACACCTGTCTCTGCACCCTAGGTCCACAGGTTATGGGCAGCAACTCTGCGAGAGCAGAGGGTGCAGCTTCACTGAAGAGCACCCCGCACGTCAACCTGGTCTTACGCATTTCCTGGGATGGCGTCAAGAGAGACCTCTTGAAGGAGTCAAGAGTAGAAAGCGGCAGCAAACAAGCTGGAAACGGGTGCTCAGAGGCTGCCAGACTCTCTCTTTAGAAGTTTAATTTGGGCCGGGGTGAAATTTCATTCCTTTTCCATACTGGCAAAGAGCTCCGGTTCAGGCTTCAAACTTAATGTCCTTGACCATGAGCTGCGCACTCGGCTTGGCAGTCATCTAATGGTAACCCCTCCTGTGCCTAACTCACAGCAAGGGCAAGCGATGAGTCCCCAGAAAATAGATGTGGATTTGCGTGCCCCGCACCAGCGGTGTAATGCCACAGCCGTTTCTTCTTTTCCGCTGCACTGACTTGTTTAGACAGGCTCGGAGAGAGGCCTCAGAAACGGTCCTCAAACGGGAAAGTGCCTCGATGTCTCTCCTCTCTCAAAGCTGTGAAAACCAAACTCCCACCACTGGACACAATCTGATCACGGGACCCTACAGAACAGGGCAGGACCGCCCCATCGGGTTTCCTAGGCAACACAGCTTCACAGAGGCAGACTGCCACATCTGTCACCCCGGGAACAGCTGCCCCTCTGGCTTTCAGACAGGTGCTCAGTGTGTCACTGTGAGACACAGCCTTCCTGCGTCCACGGCTCGGAAGAATAACGCCTCGGGAGAAATGCACCTTCCAGGGCTGCGATGAGACCAAAGGAAGACCGGAAATATCACAACATTTCAGCAACAGAAATACCACAAGCGGGAGGCTGGAGCAAAGAGAAATGTTTCTTTCCAGAGGTCAGGAGGAAGATGCTGCTGGAGCTGTCCTTAGTGCCCACTGATTAGGTTCCAGCTCACCACGACCGTCGGGGCAACAGAACGAGAGACCATGTTCTGTACGCACCAGCCTCACAGCACGGGCTGCTCCGCGCCCGCCCAGTGTGGCAGCCAGTGTGCAGGCAACCTCGCGGAAGGTCTTCTTTTCTACCTTTCCCTGAGCCGCTACTGAGCACGCTGTTCCTCTCCGGAGACTGGTCCCCCCGAGTGCCTGAGACAGGTCTCTACCTCCTCGTTTCTAAGGCGGAGTCTAGCTGTACCTCATCCGACACACGTGTGTACGCTCTTCTGGCTACTCGCGGCATATGCAATGTTCTCCGATGCATCCGTTCTCCTCCAGCCGTCCTGATTCACTGCAGGCACACATGGCAACGCCGCCACCCAGGCTGGGGTTTGGGCAGAACCGTTCCCTGGGGTTTTCGGTCGCTGGGGTCTTTCTGAAGCAGATCACTGGCTTTTCTATTGAGGCCCATCAGCCCAGTGCTCAGGGACTAAGAGACAAGCATGTTTGGTCCAAAGCTTGATTCGGTGTTTAGATTATGGTTATGCCTAGGGTTTGGGCTCGATCCAGGGCATGGCTTATTGTGACGGTTAGTCTTGGGGGTCAAGTTAGGCTTAAGGTTTAGGCTTAGGGTTTTTGTGAGAGGTTGGGCTGGGGCGAAGCCTAGGGTTTGGTCTAGGATTAGGATTTGAGCGACAGTTGCAGTTAGTATTAAGGGGAATGTTCATCGTTTTCGTTAGGGATTGGCTCGGGTGACCCTTACGGCTTGTTCTTGTGTCGGGGGAGGGTTCGTATGTGAGCTAGTGTTCGTTAGGTTAGTACCAGGCTTCCGGTTCGTAGCTGAGTATTTAAACGCCTGCATGAGGCAGGGAGACCTGGGAGACGGTCAGTGGTGTGTGGACTCGCACAGGCAGCCAGGGGAAGGAGACGGGCAGTTAAGAAATGGATGAAGAGTCCTGAGGCATATCAAGTATGTCACACAAAGTGTCATCACTCTAGGCCTGGCCCAGGAGACAAAAGCCAGAGACAGGATGTCTCACAACTCTGCCCAAGTGAGTGAGGAAGGCCATGCACTAGAAAGGGGCGGGTGCCTGCCAGGCCCGGCAGACTGGGAGGCCAGGGGGAAGTCCAAGCAGAGGACAGGCACTGGGCACATCCTGCCCGAGCGGAACAGGCGGTGTTGAGGCCAAAGAGGTGAACTGAATCAGGAGCATCTTCGAGGGCGAGGTGGCTCCGGGTCAGCAGGATGCGTCCTTTGCTGACAGGCTTTCTCCCAGGAGTTCCAAGGGCAGCTTACAATGGTGGTCTTTTAGCTGGTTCCCTCGATTGCTCGCTCTTATAAAAACCTTTTTATTGTGAGTCCGGAGAAAGCCCACAGAGCGATGAGATGAGTTCTTCATTCAACGATCCACACACATCTTGCCTGGTGCCACTGGCCGTCACCATGACCACACCCCCCCTCCCCCCACTGCTTGTCTCTCCCATGCCTTCCAAACTCCACCCTTCCGAGCTCAAATGGCTGAGCTCCTGTTTATTAATAATTAAGAGACCTGTCTATTACCTGGCTGAAACAGTCATGGGGCGAGTTCCCTTCCAGACTCGAAGGGGGGCCAGGGTTCTCCCCGTCTGCCCCACACCTCTCTCCCACTCTACTGAGGGCCCTCCAACGGGCCCCCCCACTCTGCAGCACCACGTGGCAGGGCAGGACCGCCCCCGTGGGTTTCTGAGGCTGTCCTTCTTGTTCGTTTTTTGTGATTGTATTGGAAGAGTTGTACAGTCATCACCACAATCAACTTCAGAACACTTTCTTCTTGTATGTATTATTAGAAACCTGTCACTCTTTACGGGAGTAGAAGTGTGTTTCTCCCCTGGAGCGGCTGGTGGTTTCGAACCACTGGCCTTGAAGTTAGTAGCCCAAAGATTAACCCACCACACCACCAGGGTCGCTGTGAGTGGGAATCAACTCGATGAAAGTGAAGGTGAGTCCCTTCAGAGCAGTGGCAGCGGCAGCCAGACACCAGGCAGTTGCTGGAAGACTACTGGCCAATTGTGTCCATGCATCTTCAACCGTCTTCCGTCTACCTTCCTCAGACAGGGAGAGAGCAGTGGCTGAGCTCCAGATGGGCATCCATGAGCCTTTAAGACCCCAGCCACCAAAGCAGGAGGCACATCACTAACTCCACGGACTGTGCTAGGCCACTGACGTTGCCGTGTCCCTGGTAAGGCTCTTTCCACTGACTTGTTTATAGCTGGCAACACCGTAAAAGACTCAAGCATTTAAAGGCTGTACAAGGAGCCCTATTGTCGCAGAGTGGGTTACGCACTGAGCGGCTAACCCAAAAGTCGGTGGTTCACATCCACCAGCAGCTCCATGAGAGCAAGATGAGGCTTTCTGGCCCCTTACAGATTCATAGCTTCAGAAACCACCAGGCATAGTTCTACTCTGTCTCACAGGGTCAGTCTGAGTTGGTGGTGGCGGGTTTGGGCATTTGTCTGTATTTGATCCAGACGAGAGCAGACACCTGAGAATACAAATCAGGACCAGCACCGTTTTGCGTACATTATCTTTCTGCACTGTTATGCCGACCCCATTACATAGGTGCTGTTACCTACAGGTTCATAGAAAAGCAACTGGGACTAGAAACTAACTTGCCGAAGGTCTTGCTGGTACTGAGAGGCATTTAGAACGAGCCTGGGCTGTATGACTCACATCTGAGCTCGCTCCTCTCCGCACCACGCTGCTCTTCTCACTGTGGGCCCCGGCACC